AAGCATTTTGCCATGATGTCAAGACTGACTTGTTTACAGTTGATGCAAGTTATTCAAATATATCTGTTATAAATAGTATAAAGTAGATTTGGTTATTAATTTTCAGACTGACATTTCTGTAATTTGTCCATTCTTCTGAAAGATGAATGGAGGAATGCATATTACAATAATTAAAATGAACTAATTGCTTAAACAATTAGATAGAGGTACAGCCTAGGTAAACTCAAAACAGGGGGGTGACCCCTGGTAGAAATGCATATCAAAAGAAAATGGAGAGAGTACCTATCTGAAAAAGTGAATAAACTATCGCTGAATATAAACTGTACAGATAAAGTACATATTATGATGAAGCAAATGTAAAATAAAAATAACAAATAACTTTATTAAATACAAGTATTAAAAAGAAATAAAGAATGAAACACTAATAAGCTAATAAAATCAAACATACAAAACGATATCCCAAAATGGGAGTGTATAGCTGATGTCTCGAGTTACAAAAATACTCATCTGCACACGTCTGTGCAGAGTAAAAAGAAGAAAGGAGAGAAGGGAGGGGGGGGGGCTGGGGAAAGGACGCTAAATAGCTATATCGTAAAATACTATCAGAATACGAACACTAAAGATAGAGTGCCCAATAATAATGTTAACTAGAAAATATCCGGTACCGGACAGCTGAATATCTGTATCAGAATCAAAAAGAACAGTGATAGTCCTAACAATACACGCTGAGCTGGTATAGAGCTGTTGTTACAGAATTGGAATGCAGCGTTCAGTTCTGCATACAGCACCAAAACTAACGTTGTTGAAATAGTCGATAATATATTATGAGCACAGATATTGCCAGATAGATACAAAGTTATCAAATAAAAGATACTGACAGCTAGAGTACTGTATAGTACATAGTAGCGTTTACTAGATAGTAATAGGAGCAAAGGAGAATTCTGGCAGAAAGCCTAGATTACGATAAAAGCTCCTGCTAAAATGTACAACAGCATGTAATGCCGTATTGAATGAGCTAAATAAGTGTAATACTGATTGCCCAAAAAAGAAAGAAAGGTAAATAAACAGAGAACTGATTAGAATAACTAGCGTCCTAGAACCTAAGAGCCCCCCATGTGCCTTCATGGGCACCAGGACTAACCCCCACTAATGATCTCCTAAATGAGACAGCAGAAAAGATGAAGATACAAAATATGAAGAAAATATGATAAATAATGGCGAAAAAGTAGCGCCAGAGTCCCCTGATGCGCGCATTTCGCCCAAGCTCGTCAGAGGGGAGCTGGGTGCCGCCAACTCAAGCGTTTAAAAAAGGAGGCTGGAGAGCTGATTGGTCGAACAAAAGATGTTCTGATTGGATGATCAAAAGATGATGTCACTCAGTGGGAAGAGTGTGTCGGCAGCTATACTTGCCGGACACACATTAACCCTAGATTTTCCAGCCTTGAATTATACAAAAAGAAGAAGAAAGGGAGGAAACATAGTCTGGATTCCATACTGCATAAGCTACAGTATGTTACAAACAGCAGAAATAAGCCCAATAGTCAGTAAAACATAAACTTGAAACGTGAGAAAAGAAAATCACACCATATCTAGCACTTATAGAGACACATTTGGAATGGTAATACCACAATGAGAGCACAGTAACCGCTGTGTATGCTCTACATTTATTGTAATAAAGAACTGATAAATGTAACATTGTTGTGGTGTGAAGGAATTTAATCCATATGGTGAAACACCCATAATATTGTATCAAGAGACAATAAAAGAAGTCAAAAAAGCAAAAGGACATAATAAACTGTTATATAAAAGAACATGATTATTTATGAATAAACGGAGTACAATTGAACTCCTCATTAAGACCATTAGGAGAAAGGGTCTTAAAATGATAAATCCATCTGGATTCTTTCATTAACAGCATTCTGTTATAGTTGCCTTTACGGGAATTCAATGTTAATCTTTCAATAGCTTGAAAAGTTATGTTAGTTGGGTCTCCATTGTGATGTACCCTCACGTGGTTTGATAAAGGGGTAGAGATATTAATGTTGGAAATGGAACATATAAGTTGAAGAATTCTCCTCCTAAACTGTTGGTATGTTTTACCAATGTATTGTACTTTACAACTGCAAGTTATAAGATAAATAACTTTGGTAGAATTGCAGTTAATAAATTGTTTTATTGGATATTCCTTCCCTGTGTATGTACTTTGGATAATTTTGGACGGTTTAATGTGTTTACAAGCTTTACAATGTCCACATTGATATACGCCTGCCACCGGGGTTAACCAAGTTGAGTTACGAATTGGTTCTGTATGGCTATGCACAAGATGATCACGTAGATTTCTAGCCCTACGTGCCGTGATATTAGGAAACTTACTAATATTATCCCTCAGATCTTTGTCATAATTCAGGATCGGCCAATTTTGGGACATAATAGTGAGAACAGGTTCCCAGAGCTGGTCAAAGGTGCCAATGCATCTAATAGTCTGGGGATCTGAAGTGGATCTAATAGCATGTAGACTCTCACTCCTATTTTTAGCAGCGGCTTGTTGATACGCTCGTTTTAATATTCTGTTAGGATATCCCTTCTGTTTGAACATTGTTCGCAATGTTTTGGCTTCAGACTGAAATGTCTCCTCGTTAGAACAGTTACGTTTGGCCCTAAGGTATTGTCCATAGGGAATACCCGATTTTAATTTGAGCGGGTGGTGACTGTCCCAACTAAGTAAACTGTTTGTTGCAGTTGGTTTTCGATAGAGTTCCGTTTCAATCGTGCCATCTGGTGAGATCTTAATATTGAGGTCAAGGAAAATTAGATGTTCCGTATCAATGACGTATGTCAATTGAAGGCCAATTGAGTTGTTATTCAATCGATCGACCAATTCCTCAAACTGTTTAACAGATCCCAACCAGAATACCAACACATCATCGATGTATCTGTGCCACATAAGGACGCAATTTTGATACTTGTCCTTGATGATGGGGCCAAGAATGGTTTCTTCCCACCACCCCAGATAGATATTGGCATAGCTTGGGGCACAAGCCGTACCCATCGCTGTACCCCTCAGTTGGAGATAATGAGTGCCATTAAATACGAAGAAGTTGTGTGTCAACACAAACTCTAAGAGCTGGATGATAAAGTTACTCTGGGTGATGGAGAATTTTTGAGATTTAAGAAGAAAATATCTGACTGCCTGAAGGCCAGTCTCATGTGGAATGTTGTTATAGAGTGCCACTACATCCATGCTGCCCAACAGGCAGTAGGGTGGTACAGTTAGATTTTCTAGTAGGATGAGAGTCTGCTTGGTATCTTGAAGATACGACGGAAGGCCAACTACGATTGGATGTAAGAGTTTCTCCAGAAATTTACTACTGCGCTCAGTAATAGAACCATTCCCCGACACTATAGGTCGACCTGGTGGTTTAGAGATATTTTTATGTACTTTAGGGAGGCAGTATAGGGTAGCGATAGTAGGAGTGAGATTGGGTAAAATAAATTTATATTCATCTTGTGTTATTGTTCCACTAGTTAATGCTGGTGTTAGAATAGACTTTAACTCATTAAGAAATTGTGGCGAAAACTAGGACTATCACTGTTCTTTTTGATTCTGATACAGATATTCAGCTGTCCGGTACCGGATATTTTCTAGTTAACATTATTATTGGGCACTCTATCTTTAGTGTTCGTATTCTGATAGTATTTTACGATATAGCTATTTAGCGTCCTTTCCCCAGCCCCCCCCCCTCCCTTCTCTCCTTTCTTCTTTTTACTCTGCACAGACGTGTGCAGATGAGTATTTTTGTAACTCGAGACATCAGCTATACACTCCCATTTTGGGATATCGTTTTGTATGTTTGATTTTATTAGCTTATTAGTGTTTAATTCTTTATTTCTTTTTAATACTTGTATTTAATAAAGTTATTTGTTATTTTTATTTTACATTTGCTTCATCATAATATGTACTTTATCTGTACAGTTTATATTCAGCGATAGTTTATTCACTTTTTCAGATAGGTACTCTCTCCATTTTCTTTTGATATGAACTAATTGCTTGTACCGACTTGTGGCTCCCTTCTTGTAATATTTAAAAATAGAAGATGCCAGCCCCAAGGCTTACCTGTTAGTAGAGATGAGCGGACACCTGGATGTTCGGGTTCGCCGGGTTCAGCCGAACTTCTGGAAAAAGTTCGACTTCGGACTCGAACTTGACCCTGAACCCAAACCCCATTGAAGTCAATGGGGACCCGAACATTTGGGCACTTAAATGGCTCTAAAAAAGTCATGGAAAGGGCTGCAAAAGGAAGTAAAATGGGAGTAAGAGTAGGACAAGTGCCCTGCAAACAATTGGGGTAGCCCCCAAAATATTGGGACATATAAAAAAAGAAAACAAAGAATAAGTGCACTTGAGTAAAACAATGGCTGAGTGAGGTATAAATATCTATTCTGCACAAGGTACAGACAAGTCCGGTGGGATCCATGCCTGGTTCATTTTAATAAACGTGAGCTTGTCCACGTTGGATGTTGACAGGCGGCTGCGCTTGTCTGTGATAACGTCTACTGCCGTGCTAAACACACGTTCAGACAATACACTGGCTGCAGGGCAGGCCAGCACCTCCAAGGCATAAAGGGCAAGCTCAGGCCATGCGCCCAATTTGGAGATCCAGAAGTTGAATGGGGCAGACCAATCAGTCAGTATGTGTAGGCGTGTACACACGTACTGTTCCACCATGTTGCTGAAATGCTGCCTCCTGCTAAGACATTCCATATCAGCTGGTGGTGTTGGTTGTTGTGGCGTGCTGACAAAGCTTTTCCACATTTCGGCCATGCTAACCCTGCCTTCTGAGGTGCTGGCAGTGCCCCAGCTGTGTTGACAACCTCTTACTCCTCCTCTGCCTTTGCTTTGTGCTTCCACTGAGCCCCCGGTGTCAGTTGGGAATGCTCTCAGCAGCATATCTACCAGCGTGCGCTTGTAGTCGTGCACCTTCCGATCACGCTCCAGTGAGGGAATTAAGAACGGCACGTTGTCCTTGTAACGGGGATCCAGCACGGTGGCCATCAGTAAGCAGAACAAGTTAGAATGTGGGCAACTCGGCAGTTGTTGCGCAGGCACTTTGGTGACTCTAGATAATCTCGGGCCGATCGCATGTCCCTGTGACAGTGACGATGCATTGGGATGTCTGCCCTATCAACTTTCGATGATACTTTCTGCGCCTACCATGGTGACCATGGGTAACAGGAATCAGGGTTCGATTACGGAGAGGGAGCCTGAGAGATGGCTACCACATCCAAGGAAGGCAGCAGGCAGGCAAATTACCCACTCCTGACGCGGGGAGATAGTGACGCTAAATAACAATACAGGACTCTTTCGAGGCCCTGTAATAGGAATGAGTACACTTTAAATCCTTTAACGAGGATCTATTGGAGGGCAAGTCTGGTGCAGAGCGACTGACCCGTCCGTGCTGCAGCTGAAACTCCACTATCGCCTGCTGCTGCTCGCACAGTCTCTCCAGCATGTGCAAGATGGAGTTCCATCTTGTGGGCATGTCGCATATGAGCTGGTGAGCGGGAAGGCTGAAGTTACGCTGCAGCGTAGACAGGCGAGCAGAAGCAGGGTGAGAACGCTGAAAGCGCGCACAGATGGCCTGCACTTTCTGCAGCAGCTCTGATATATCTGGGTAGTTTTTCAGGAACTTCTGCACCAGCAAATTCAGCACATGTGCCAGGCAAGGGATGTGCGGCAAACCGGCTAGGCACAGAGCTGCTACGAGATTTTGCTCATTATCGCACACCACCAGGCCTGTCTTGAGGCTCAGTGGCAACAACCACTCATCGGTCTGTTGTTCTATGCCCGTCCACAGCTCCTGCGCATTGTGGGGTTTTCCCCCCAAACATATGAGTTTTAAAACAGCCTGCTGTTGTTTCCCTCTGGCTGTGCTGAAGTTGGTGGTGAAGGTGTTACACTGACCGGATGAGGAGGTGGTAGAGGAGGAGGAAGCGGAGTAGGAGGAGGAGGCAACAGGAGGCAAAGAGAAATGCCCTGCAATCCTCGGTGGCTATCCGCCTCAGGCCCAGCCGCCACTACATTTGCCCAGTGTGCAGTTAGGGAGATATAGCGTCCCTGCCCGTGCTTACCGGTCCACGTATCAGTGGTTATGTGGACCTTGCCACAGATGGTGTTGCACAGTGCACACCTGATTTTGTCCACCCATTGGTTGTGCAGGGAAGGGATGGCTCGCCTGGAAAAGTAGTGGCGGCTGGGAATCACGTACTGTGAGACAGCCACCGCCATCAGGTTTTTAAAACTGTCCGTCTCCACCAGACGGAATGACAGCAGTTCAAAGGCCAGGAATTTTGAAATGCTAGCATTCAGGGCCAGGGATCGTAGGTGGGTAGGGGGGTACTTCCTATTTCTCTCCAGTGATTATTTTTATTGGACTACAAGAAATGCACCGCATTGCAGGCTGCAAATGTCCTATTTAGCACAAAAAAATGTGATTTTTTTTAAACCAATTTTTTCAAAGTGCGATGTAACCACAGTATTTGACGGTTCTATTTGACTCTCAGATATGAAGTGCACTGCAGGCAGCAAATGTACTATTTAGCACCCAAAAGACTTAAAATTTATCAAAGATGATCTGCATCATAAACTAAGTGTATAGTGTACCCAGAGATGTTGTCGTGTGCATCCACTTCTAACACGCTCAAGAGATATTACTGGAGGTGGCCAGATACTCAAATGTCTTGGCAATCTATGCTGACATAAATCTAACTACAATGGCAAAAAGGCAGGAATTCAGCACAGTCACAAAACTCCTCAGAAATATCTTCTACCGCTGGGGTATACCTTCCAAATATCTCATATGGAGCAATGTGGTGACACAAGTGGTCAACTTTCATGGAGAAGTCATGCAGACCATGTACTCCTGGAATGTAGGCAGTGACCTGGAACCATCACCTCTCTTTGTCCGGATTGACAGAAGTTGGGACTGCAACCTGGCATTTCATTTGAACAGATGACCAGATATACCACTACTTCACTGGGAATGTCACCAGTGACAACTAGTCTCTACAAGAATTCCACTTGCAGTCACATGCAGGACTCCCTTTTGTAGACAGAGATGAATGCACAGACTTCGTTTGGGTTTGCTAGTGATGCTATTTTCAGTTCACTTAAACATAGGCATTGTATATCTTACAGCGATATTGGCAGACACTTACCTAGCTATCTTAAAATAAATTATACTAACAGGAAGGACATTTTACTGTAAAGAGATGGTGGTATGCCACTAACAATGCTCGTATTTCTTGGGAGGGAATACAAATGGCAAAAAAAAACAAAACATAAAAAACCCCCAAAGAAACTGAAAACTCTCCCCCCACCCATGATACACAGTATATGTTGCCAGTTATTAACTGATACTCCTTTATTCCTCACGTCTAAACTGAGATGTGTGCTTAGTTGTATATGTTTATAATGTTAATGGTATTGGTAATGGGGTAATAGTATTTTCTGGTGCAGTCTCACAACATGTAGTGAAGTTACCTAAACCTCCATAGAAGTCACTATGGATCTAGAAGTGGATTGCTTACAGTTTGAAGTATTGTATATATTGATGTTCATAAGACTGCTTCTTTTTTCCCTTCATTACCCACCTGTTCTCCCAGCCCTTTTCTCAAGACCCTCGCCTCTCCTGTGGATCCTCCTGCTCACGAGGATGCACAGTATGGATTTTTATCTTTTAGTCTCTGTACTGCAGAAAGACAACAGCAGGTACCATACTCATCAATTCCGCAATGAAACATGTCATCAACATTCTCTCATGTAATGTTAGGGCCCTCAATACATGACACAACTAATGATTAGCATTCCGACATTTTCCAACAATCTTTTTTTCCACAATACCACACAGTTTTCCACACATTTCCCAAAACCTAATCCAAATGGGTGTCTATTAGAGTCGACAAAGATTGTGTATTTTCATTGTAATCTGAACACTCTGATTCTGGCCACTGTGGGCAACCTAAACAATTTTCATTTTAATATTATGAACAGCCCTCACCAAATCCAGACTCAATTAATAGAAAACTGCTTTAATAAATTAGATATGTTTAGATCAGGACACACCACTGTCTGTGGGTACTTAACTGTGTATTGGATCCCAAGCTATGGCTAACCCATAAGGCTTTGATCCACGACCTGCTTTTCCTGCTTTTCCAACATGGGCCAGAGAAAGAAACAGTACATTAAACAAAAAAAACACCTTGCTTTCTCAACTCCTGCATTTTGAAAAAAATGAATCAATCTGTGCACACCAGTTTTAATATTTACAAAGTGAGACAGGAAATGCAAAGCATGGAGTTGCAAACAATGGAACACACTACGAGTAAGCTAGGCTAAATATCTTATAACCAAGGCAAAAAGCCAGGAAACTCCCAGGGCAGAAATTGAAAAACAAGTTACAGTTTACGAACATTCTTTACCTTCTAGACACAAATGGCCAAAAATTTGTAAACCCACAAAAACTGGTCAATGAACTAGCATCCTACTATAGTTCCTTATACAATCTAGTTCAAGACTCACACATTACATAACCAGCCATCACTTCTACTTCTGACTTTTTCTCTGACGTCTTTTGTCCCAACTATCCCTGATCAGAGAGCACTATTGGGTTTCCCTATTACAGATGAGAAAATCATGAAGGCAGTCATGTCCCTACCAAAAAAAAAAAAATGACACCCTGAGGGCCTGTAACAATGTATGTTAAATGGCCTCTATTAGTACCCCATTTAATTAAACATTTTAGTCAAATTAAAAACTCGGTCAAATCCCAATCAAAATGCTGCTGGTAGTATTGCCTCTCCAGAGCAGGATTTATGCCGTCTAAACAAGTGTCAAATAACCTGCATACATCTACAATTCCTCCCTCTATTACTGAAGTTAAATCTTGAATTGATTAAGCAAAGCAGTACAAAGAAATTAATCACAGACTTCTGGGCAATTTGGCCAAGTCAAATAAAATACAGTCCTCGTGGACATAGTTGACATCAATACAAAACACGAACCTTGAGGTCTCCCCTCCCTCTTCTTCCCTTACACTCCCCCATTAATTTTCTCTTTTCTCTTCTTCACTTCTCCTAGAGACAACCTAGGCGACTGCAGTATATTGGATGTGTATACATTGGTATCAAGATAAATAGTTAAATGGGAAGCCAGGATTTGGCAATGAGAGCACTCCAATATTACATGTCTATGTGTATGTATTTTTTCATGGTCAATGTAGCTATGAATATTACAGATTAAGTTACAGCGCACACATAAAAATACACCTATAAATCTTAACAGGCTACTTAAAATCGCCTATCTAAGAAAACAAACATGGGGATTCAGTTTCACCATATGGCCACATACTTATTTAGCACTATCTAATTTGTCTTCCACAATTGGAATTAGTGTAGGAACCACTGATATTGGGGTACTGTGAAGTAGTGGTGGACTTAACACAATAAGGCCATATAGTAGAACTTATTCCACATATTTGCTTTCTTAGATAGGTGATTTTAAGTAGCTTGATATCATTTATGGGTGAATTTTTATATGTGCGCCGTAACTTAAGCTGTAATATGTATGAATATTGGTCACTACGGCAGCACCATTGCTGCAGAACACATATTTTGAGTGTGCTCCAATCATTTTTGTCTTTTGCAATGTAGCTTGAATGTCTTATTATCAGATACCGCTTATCATTCGTGTTTACCTATTAAAGAGTGTATTGACATACATGCAATGTGTACTGTTCCTTTTGTTTCAAAAATATTAAAATGCTACAAACTGTGAAAAAAAAACATGGAAAAAAGAGAACTGTCTCAAGTCAATCCTTTCTTTACCATACAAAATAAAAAAATCATAATAAATAAATAATACATGTATGGGATCATCAGGACTCAATAAAACAAAAGAGCCCTAATGGGGTAGAAATAAATATTTCATAGGTTAGACTCCTGAACCTTAGACTCCTGAACCTTATGAAAATTCCCTTACAAGGGTTTAGGAGATGCATAGTCCCTAGAGGCATTATGTGGTGGACCGCCTGTACTGCGAACGAGTACCTCTGCCAACTCTGTTTCCTTGCCATTATCAGCGATGGGAACTGTAACGGCACCCCCAGGCATAAAAGGGTTAAACCGCTGTTTAGTAGATCTTCCCTTCCAGAAGCACAAGCACAGCTACTGCAGAACACCAATCCGCCGAACAGGAAAAGCATTTGAATGCCGTAAACAGCCAAACCGGAACCATATGTTTTTAAGAGCTTTTCTGGGAAACTCCCACCCTACCTGAACAAA